AGGACACTGCACATGTCCAAACTCTCACAATGACTCTTCTGTGGGAATCTAACTGCACATGTCCAAACTCTCACAATGACTCTTCTGTGGGAATCTAACTGCACATGTCCAAACTCTCACAATGACTCTTCTGTGGGAATCTAACTGCACATGTCCAAACTCTCACAATGACTCTTCTGTGGGAATCTAACTGCACATGTCCAAACTCTCACAATGACTCTTCTGTGGGAATCTAACTGCACATGTCCAAACTCTCACAATGACTCTTCTGTGGGAATCTAACTGCACATGTCCAAACTCTCACAATGACTCTTCTGTGGGAATCTAACTGCACATGTCCAAACTCTTACAATGACTCTTCTGTGGGAATCTAACTGCACATGTCCAAACTCTTACAATGACTCTTCTGTGGGAATCTAACTGCACATGTCCAAACTCTTACAATGACTCTTCTGTGGGAATCTGGGGCGGCGAACAGATCGTGACCCGGAAGTGACTCAACATGAAAAAGTTCATGAGTAAAATGGAAGTTTACACATCAATAACTCTAAATTATTTATTTTATTTATCAGAAAACATATATGTGATGATTTTTCAAAGCATTTATAACATTTTATGTTGTTATTTTAGTTTTTAAATTTTTTTGTGTAACAAAGATGGTGGTGGGGTGCGCCCTAGCGCCCCCTGTTGACCAGCTGCCACTGGGAGACACCTTATAACTCCCAGAAGAGCTGGAAGTGGAAGGAGAGGACATCCCTGGTCCAGCTGCTGTCCAAGACACCTGGTGATGGACGGATGGATGATGGATGGATGGATGATGGATGTTGGTTGGTTGGATGTTGGTTGGATGATGATTGGATCTTGGTTGGATGATGGTTGGATGATGGTTGGATGTTGGTTGGATGATGATTGGATCTTGGTTGGATAATCAATCAGTCAATGATACTTTATTGATCCCAGGGGGAACTACAGTTGGGAAGAACCCATTCAGGAGAACAGGTGAGCCCAGGTAAAGCAGCCTGTGACCCTCACAGAGCAAAGATCATCATCATGGAAGACACCAGGAGGAGGCGCTACATCAATAAAAGTTTACAGAAGCAACAATCTTCCTGTTTTCTGTGGTTCATGTGTTAAAAGTAAAAAAAATAAAACATTTTTCTGATCTAATGTTAAATAAGTTCTGATCCAGAACCAGAACCAAAACCTGCTGACTCAGATCAGCAGTTCCTTCCATCAGCCTCTAGGTGGTGTTGTTGTCTCAGTGTTAAACCACCAGGAAGCTTCAGGGCGCCACCTGCTGGTCACATGACGTACAGCTGACGTCACTGACTTGATTCAAAAAGGTTTTTATTATAAAACCTTTATTTTAACAGAAAAAACACTTTGAGAATTAACCTTTTTTAAAGAGTCATGGACAAAATCAGCTGCAGTAAACACAGATTTCACACATTTACAAACAGAAGTACACAGTTATGTATAAATACACACATAATTACACAGTTATATATAAATACACACATAATTACACAGTTATATATAAATACACACATACTTACACAGTTATATATAAATACACACATACTTACACAGTTATATATAAATACACACATACTTACACAGTGGTACACATTAAATTCCATAAACAAACAGGACAACCATGAAAAACATATAAAGAACAAACAGAGAACATGAAGGAAACATTGAGCTGAAATCTGAATTTTCATTTAAAGCTCTTAGATTTACAGTTTGTTAACTTATAATTATTCTGCAACAGAATTCAGTTTAAAGATGCAAAATAAACAAAAACATTTAAAACTTTTCTGTATAAAGACATGAATGCAGCAAAAAGTCATAAATATTCATTTATTCAGATTTTATTTTTTCAACACACAAACAGGCACTCACCCCTCCACACACACACACACACACACACACACATACACACACACACACACACACACACACACACACACACACAGTCTCTCTCGGGCAAAACTATCAGGTTATGTTTCTTTCAGCTTCATCAGCATTTTTAATTTAGGTTCAAAACTTTATTTTCTGATTTTTAAGGTTTTTGAACGTCTGCAGAGAAATCTTCGGCTGCAGGTTTGGAAACTTCGGCTGCAGGTTTGTAAACTTCGGCTGCAGGTCTGGAAACTTCGGCTGCAGGTTTGTAAACTTCGGCTGCATGTTTGGAAACTTCGGCTGCATGTTTGGAAACTTCGGCTGCATGTTTGGAAACTTCAGCTGCAGGTCTGGAAACTTCGGCTGCATGTTTGGAAACTTCAGCTGCATGTCTGGAAACTTCGGCTGCAT